TTTTTTTTTCGAACAAAACTTCCTAGAACTCAGTAGAAGCCAGGGCTGGGCAAGTCTGAGTCATGACTCGGACTCGAAAATTTCGAAATGGTGACTCGACTAGAACACTCGAGTCATTCTCGAGACAATCATTCAAGAAAGAACTTTGGTTGGGTCGCATGAAAAATTACAATTTTTAAGACAAATTTCTTGTTTATATTAAACTTTCTGGCTAATTGAATACATTTCATCCTATAGATTTTCAAACGAAAATTTTTCGATATCTGTATTCATGTTGGATATGGCTGCCTACGCGTAGTATTGGATATGTGCTCTTTCTCATTGTTTTCTTTGCGCGCATTTTTGAAAGTGTGCACATTTATGTAAATAAATAAATGATAGTTTTACATTATGTGTTCTGCTACATCAGCAACGATTGAACTTGTCTTTTTTTCAATGTGATCTTTTAATAAAATCGAATCGTTCAAGTTTTACAGAAGCTAATATTTGTCTTTTACCATCTTTGAGATGCAATAAAACATTAATTTCTAACGAATAAATTCAAGACTATGCTCATGCAGAGTGGGAGGCAGAGGATCCGGACTATCACTTTTGAAAAGTAGTAACTTTCTATAGCGAAATTACTGTAGAAATTTTGTTTTAAAATCTGAATATTACAACTTTACCTGGAGGGAAGTATGCGAAACTTCACGACGCATATGTTAGACTCCCACTCCATTCCTTTTGGCACATTTCTGAATAAATTTTGCTCGTAAACAGGTTTAGATGTAACTTTCTGTTAATAAAAAAATGACACTTTTCTTTACTGTACAGTTAATCTTGCTGCTACTCTTGTAGTTAGTCTACAGTAACTGTATCTTTCTATTTTACAGGTGGTTTTTCTTTTATTGATTTTTGTTTCTATGAACTTGTAATTAGATACTCTGTAATGAAAGTTTCTTATGGGTCCTCTTAGTAAAAATAAACAGACAAGAATGGCAAACAAAAAGATTATTTGACTTGACTCGCCCAGCCCTGATAGAAACAAAACACTGAAAGCATCCACAAAAAACATGTTTTTTTCGCAATGGTACTAATTGCTAACATGTTGAATAAAAAAAAATATATGCACCTCAATTTGACCAAAGTACTCATTAAAAAATGACTTGATCCCGATCGGACATACTGTATGGAAGAAAACGGGAAGTTTTCAATTTTTCTATTGAAAAATTGTTTATGAGGAAAATGCAAAATAATATATAGCATAGCTTCAATCAGGCCACTAGGATGTGGGTGTGACTGTGAGTATTCGTATCATCCAGACCCATACCCTACATCCATACCTAACTCTGAAAGACACTTTATTAACATAATTATATCTTAGGATAGGAACAGCGGCAAGATCTGAAACATTCAACAAAAAAAAAAAAACATTCTCGGTAAGACTTCTCTCTATGCAAAGTTTCAAGTCGAAATTCGAAAATCAGTCTTTCTGGTGTTCCTGAGTGAGACCAGAGCATTTATTTAAAAAATACCGTAAGAGTGCAGCATCGGTGCAACAATAAGCTAAGAGCATAAACTCTTTTGACGATATTCATAGTTCATTGAGGTCTAGATAATTCACATAGTCTCGACTCGAAAGCGATTCATCAATGCGATGGCTTCTCTTGTTAGATTAAAATACGTTCCAATGATTTAGATTATTTCCAACTTCAACCAACAATATTGCTTAGAAATTGATTAAATGATTCACATAGGAAGGTTCATTAGCTTTACTGATTACAAAGGAATTATTCGATTTTTCCATAACTAGATTGTGTCAATAGCTGATCAATTTTAAATAATTTCTTTGATTAATAATTGTTTATGTTAGAATAATGAAAAATAAGTTGTATTTTTATAAATAATAATAAATAAATATATAAATCTTCATTTTTCATACGAGATGTGAGCTTTTTACTTTTCCCCCTATAGGTTTATTAGAATAAATTTTTAGTTAACAAATATACACATAAAAAAATCACTTAAATGGTTCACTTATTACTACTTAACCAGTTGTTTCAAGAACATTTTAGTATTTAATAATGAACTTTTGGATACGTTTCTCTGCATGGAATGTTAACACTGATTCGCATAGTATGTTTGAGATCTGAGACGCATACTTAGTTTCTTTTTCTTTTAGTATAATTTAGAACATGATTTGAGAAAAACTCGAATCTTAATACATACATAACAATTAAAGATAAAATGCAATTGAGAGTAGCGTCTTTTACTCAAAGATAATAGAGGTCACTTCATAATATTATATTTGTCGATTGGAACAACCAACTGATAATAAGACCAACAAATCTGAGTAAACATCCATATTTATAGCTGACATTAATAGTCTAAATGACCATGAAAGCAAATCAATACTGACATTTACGTTACTAGTTTGTACAATAGAATTATCATTAATGCTCTTATGTATTGTCCAAATAAATTATCTTTAGTTTTCTACTGAGAAAAACTTCGATATTTTTTGTGTTTTAGATGAAAATAATGATGCAGTATTGAAAAAAAGCAAACAAAAGAAATGGCTTCGGCTAATAAAGGATTTTCATTTCAAAAATCACTTGAAATAAAAACAAAATCAATTGAAACAACACTTGTACCACTTGTAACACAAATTTCAACATTGGTTAATTTTAAAGATAAACCTCGATGTTCATCAACAACTAATGAAAAAACTCTTAATGCTATCAATCGTGTTGGTGAAGCAGTACATATGGCTGTTGAACGTTTTGTTTCAGTTGGTAGGTTTAAAAAAAAAGCATTATATATTTTTCTCAAGAATAACATTTATTTAATCATTTCGAAAGATCTTCTTTCAAGCTTGTAGCAAAGTTTCTAATGTGAATGGTAAAAGAACTAACGAAATATGCAGTTTTTTTTATTGTTTGTTGCAATAACCCTTATAAAAGTAAAATGAATGCAATCGAAGATATTTTTTGCTCTTTTAGGAGAATCAATTGGTAATGAAAATCCTGAAATAAAATCTGATTTAATCGATACATGTCGTGAAGCTCGAATAGCTGGTAAATCAAAAATTTCTTTTTGATAATTCTTCTAAGATGTTCTTATGTTTTTTTTTTTGTTTTTTTCTTTCATAGGTGAAGCAATCAAACGAATAACTTGTATAGAAAGTGATATATTAGGTAAACCAATTTGTATAACTGATCGACAAAGTATGGTGCAAGCAGCTCGAGGTTTATTAACTGCAGTAACACGTGTTTTACTTCTTGCCGATATAGTTATTGTTAAACAAATTATTTCTGTTAAGAAAAAAGTAAGACATTTTTGTCTTGTAAAATGAAAAATTTATTTTTTCCATTCATAATAAAAGGTAATGTCAACATTAAATCGTCTTGAAGGTGTTACATCTTTTTCTGAATTTGTTAAATTATTTGGAATTTATGGTACACAAATGATTGATTTAGCACATCTTACTGGCGATCGACAAAATGTAACTAATAAATAAAAAAAAAAAAATACAAAATCATATGAAAAAGAAAATCTAAAATTTTTATTTATAATATCTAGGATCTAAAAGATGAACGTCGACGTTCTCAACTTTCAGCATCACGAACTATTTTAGAAAAATCTACAATGTTGATATTAACATCATCTAAAGTAACACTTTCATTTTTTTTATTGTTTTGGATTATGAATTATATATTTGTTGCTTTTTTTTTTAAAGGCATATCTTCGTCATAATGAATGTTTACATGCTCGTAAATGTCGTGATCTTGTTTATAGTCAAGTTCGTCGTGCTCTTGATATGGTACAATTAATTGTTTATGATTCAGGCTCAACAACATTAAATAATACTTCAACACTTACACTTCTTCTTGCTAAAAATGAAATTAATTTTATTAAATCATTAAGACAATTTGAAGTAAAAATTTTTGTTTTGAATATTTATCAAATTTGATTTCTCTTCTAGTATGCTATTGAAATGTTAAATGTTTCCTCAACATCAACAACAAAAGAACAACTTGAACAATTATGTAATACAACAATTGATAATAGTCAAGATTTTACTGATTCAATTTATATAAGTATTGAACAACGTGAAAAAGTCCTTGAATATCATAAAAAATTACAAGATCAACTTGCAGAAATTATTAAACTTATATCAGATGTTTGTTATTTTAAACTAATAATAAATATTATTATATTGATATTTTTTTGTTTTTTAAGAAACAAAATGATGCATTTCTATCAGCTATTCAAACAATTCAACAAGTTGCACGAGAATTTCGACAACAAGTAAATAATTATTTATTTTTTTCTTTAAAAATTTTTGTTATTTGTATGGTGTTTTCATTTTTAAGCTTGAACAAATGGCAATGTTTCGTGCATCGGAATTTTTTCGAACACATGATGAAAGTGTTTTACTTAATGAATTAAAAACATATTCATTAACAAATAGAATTGATTTATTACAAGACTCTATTGATCAATTTCGTGAACAAGCAGATATTGCTATTGAGGTTTAATATAAAAAATTAAAAAAAAAGTTTTTATATATAAATTTTATTTTTTAGTTAAGCAAACTTTTAAGACATATTAGTTCATGTGATCAATTACAAGTATCAAGTGAATATCATGATATGGTCTTTCAGAATTTATCTAACATGGTATGTTGAATATTAGACCTTATTATTAGATTGAAAAGAAAATCAAGGTTTATGCGTCCATGAGTTATATTTAAGTTTGTTTTTTTTCTTTTACCTTGATTTCATGGTTTTTCCTTCAATCTATTTTTCGAATAGAGGTAGTAAGTGTTCGTTTATTTTTATACAAGAGAAACAAGTAAACCCCTTCGGTCAATAGAAAACACTTCGTAATTCATTAATTTATTGAAAACTTAGAATACTTACTTCTGGTTGCCAGGACTTCTTAAATATTAAACATCACTTATTAAATCTGCAAAACTGTTTTACCTCTCTGAAGGATCTTTTCAATCAGAAATTATAAAAATAGATGGGTTACAATCAGCATACTCCGTGATCACAAATCTTATTTTTCGTGGTTGGTCGTGATCATAATATATATATATTGAAAATCAACATTTAAATCAAAAAAAGATGTCATGACCGAACAGTGAACAAAATCATACTTATACCTGTAGATTGATGATTAAAAATCTCAATCACACAGAACACTAGCCATGACAGAAGATGATTCAGGATCCTCTATCGCAGAGAGGAGTTTCGTACTATCCTTGCGTTACAGAAAAAAATCATTATATTTTACGTCACGTCAGTTATTTGTTTTTTCTCGAGGAAGATGCTTGAGATATTTAAATAAAGATGTGCAAGACCAAGTTTACTCAGTCTCAGTCTCACACATCTCTACTCTTACATAGTATTTCATATTAGCTCAAAAATAATGAAAGATAACATAGAATATACATGAGATGACCTTAAAAGTACTCGTATTATTATAAAATTGAAAGTAGATATTTTGTTTAATTTAGTTGTATATGAATAGCTCGATGAGAAATGTTTAGATAATAATTTATTGATAAAGTATTCTAAGACATGAGAAGTTTTTTTTTTTAATTTCTCAAAATAATTTATAAAATCAATAATATTTATCTTGAACTTATTTTAGATAATATCATCATCAGAATCACTTGCAGCACATTCAAATAGTCGAGTAGCAAAAGAAAATTTAGATGTACTATGTCGTTTTTGGGAACAACAAATCAATGATTTTTCAATTCTTGTTAAAGAAATTCAAGATGTTATGGAAGGTCGTCGAGAAAAAACTGTTTATTTATCATTACCAAGACCTGGAAAACATGGAACAACGCCAAAAGGTATTATTTTGCTTTATAGATATTGTTTTTTTTTTCTTTTATATTTGAAAAATTTTTTTTTAGTTGGTTTTAAACCAACAAAACTTGATGCTGAAGAACAAGCTAAAGTAGCTAAAGCTGGACTTGAAATGAAATTAATTACATCAGAAATGGATGCTGAAGCTGAAAAATGGGATGAACCACAAAATGAAATAGCTAAAGTTTGTTAATTATTCATAGAAAAATAATTTATTTAAATTTTCTTTGTTTTTATTTTTGTTTAAATATAATTAGCGTGCAAAAAATATGTCATCAATGGCATTTTCAATGTATTTATTTACACGAGGCGAAGGAACATTACGTACAACTCAAGATTTATTTACACAAGCTTATTATTTTGTTGAAGAAGGAACTCGTTTATCAACTATTGTTCGAGAATTTGCCACTCAAGTAAATGGAAAATTTAATAGAAATATAAAATTGAAATTAATTTTAGATACCAAATAAAACTTCACGACAAGAAATTTTAATACAATTAGAGCAAATTCCACTGATGTGTCATCAATTAAAATTAAAATTAAAAACTCCAGCTTTAGGAAAAAGTTCAACATTTTCAAAAGTAAATGATGATTTAAATATTAAATTATTTATAGAAAAAAACTAAAAAATATTCATTTAGGTTGATGCTGTTATATGTGAAACAAGAGATTTAATGCATGCTATTACTCGTTTATGTACTATGGTTTTTATTTGTCAATCAAAGGTGAATTAATATTTCATAGTTTATTATTTAATTTATTATCAACTCTTAGACTTATTTCTATAGAGAAATATTAATCGAAGAATACTCAATACATCGAAATGCTTCAACTTTCTAAGCTGAAAAAAATCATTCTTCCCAAACACTAGTGTTGAGCTAACGAGAGAACTGCTACAGTTACCCGTTTTCAATCTCAATGATTTTTCTGCTCCCTATAGATACTACATAGTATTCTAATAAAAATTTCAAAAAGTAAAGTATCGAATTTTAATCTGAAAATTTGCACATATAGAAATCTCAATTAGACTAGTTTCCAGTTTCAAGATATAGAACCTTTTCTGTGGATAATATGTACAATATGCATTTTTTGCAAGCTTCATATTTCAAAGAAACTTTGTTCAAAACTTCTGAATTTTTGTTTTTTATGAAATCTAGTCTAGATGAGTTCTCAATATGCACAAAGTTTCAGATTAAACAAACAAATATTGAAATCGAAAGGGAACAACTGAAGAGAGATTATATACATATTATGGCATTTGAAAAAACATCCAGCTGTTTCACTCTATGGTTCCGGAGCTCTTGGACATCGTCGGATACCTAAAGTGAAACAACATCTTGTGAGTTCGGGTTTTTTATTTCGATGTAAAATGACTTCCAAATCAGACTCGACGTACGAAAAAGTAAGAAAATAATGCATTTGGATCATTTTCAATGGAACTTTACACTCTATGAAGGGAATGATCACATTTCAATGTACTCAAAAACATGTTCACTTTTGTTTCATTATCTATAGACTTGTTTAAAATATTTAGAAAGAAGTCTCATTAAGCTTTCATAGAGAATTTGATGGTACATCCTATAAACATACAATCTATACTAAGGATTAAAAAAAAAGTGATAATCAAAATATTGAAACGTTCATTATCTATCAGCCGCTTGGTACTCCGCATCGTGCTCCTAAAAATAGATGTTTGCTCTCCCTGAGTTTTAAAATAAACTTATATCTTGCCTTTCGACTTCTACAAGACAATAGTAAAGGTTATTTGTATCGTACATTATTAAATAATATTTTATTTTATTTTTTTTAGTACAATATCATCGATTCTCGTTCTGCTCCTACAACGAATAATACGATATATTCTCGAGCTCCATTATCAACTTCAAAACGTCCGTTACTCTATCGTACAACATCAACTGAACGAGATGATCGTTTAGAAACGACATCTGAACGTCCTTTACGATCATCATCTTTACAACGTCCAGCATGTTATCTACCAGCTTTAGATCGTATTTAATTAATTAATTTGTTTGTTTGATTTTTCTTTTATCGGGATTAATATTCTTTATAATACTTGTTGTGTGTGTTATATTAATTTCTATACTAATATTAGTCAATTTTATCATCTCACAAATGTACATCGATATTTTGTAGATTTGTTTGTTTTTTCTTTTTTCTTTTTTGTGTATAAGGTGTGTTTTTATTCCTTAATGTTCTTACAAACAGTTTGTACGTTACAAAATACGTAACAGAAAATGATAATATAGAATAGACAATATTGAAACATTATTTTCCCATTTTGTTTTCGTACTGAAATTAAAGATTAAAGAGATATGAAACAAAAAAACAAACAAAAGAAATTAAAATGAAAGTCGTTTTACTTTTTTAAGAATCCATTGAAAATCATCATAAAATTTTTTAACTATTTCATTGATACGTTCAGGATCTATTTCATCAGAATGTGAACGAAAATTCTAGAAAATTAATATAGATTAAACAAATAAATATTCATTAAAATACGTACACCTTTAATATAATTTCGATAATATGATTGACTTTCAACAGGTAATTTTGGTATTTGACGTAGTAAATATTTATAAAGTTGAATAGGTGTTTGAGGAATTCCTTTCATTGTTATATATGAATATAGTAAAATAAGGATTTGTGTATATACGAACACCGAGCGCTATGTGCAATGTTTAACGAAGAAACAATGATTGGTGTTTTTAAAGATACCTATTGAAGAAAAACAAAGTACCATAATGGTACTTTTGAACAGTTGCTCGTCTTATTCTTGTTTACATATTCTAATTCCAAAGATGAAGCCTTGAAGTATTTTGCTTCTGTTATTCTTATTAACTTTATCATAGAGCAGCGGGAGTTGATACCTGTTGAAATTGACCCCCTGGAGAAATTTAATTTCTTCTATATATCAAACTGTCATGCCAGATGTTTGAAAATGAGCCATGGTAGAATTATTAACATAGTATTTATTTGTAATTGAAATAGGTAATGACCGTCACAATGTACATTGAACCTTTTTCAAAAGCTTCAAAATGGTATGGAAACATCGAAGAAAAAATACTAGTCACTGAAATGCTATGGACACTGTTCTCGAGACAAGATTTCGAGCCCTTTTTTTTACTGATATTAAATACATTTTGATAAGAAAATTACGATTTGAATGAAAATTAATATGATATTTTGAGTCAGCATTTTAAACTGAGTGAATTTACGCGCGTTTCAAATATTTTCATAAACTTTTTTTTTTGTCAAAAAATTCACTTCTGATCCACCCTCCGAGTTGGGTCAAAATATTAATTTCATTAAGTGAATTTTTCGATGAAAAAAGGTTTGCTCAAAATCTTGTTTCGAGAAAGAGAGTGTCCTTAGGATTTCTTTGGATAGCCAATGTGTTTTCTTCGATATTTTTATACTATTTTGAAGCTATTGAAACGTACTATCAACCCGTATGAAAATAGCCTAATTGACGATAAGATAAATTGACGTTGACACAGGCTTTCAGCAAACAATACTGACACAGCACGAATAAGTGTTATATGAATAGTTCTACGAGGGCGCACTTTAAGACATCTTGCATGATAGTTTGACATCGAAGAAATCAAATTTTGTCTATGGAACCAATGTCAACAGTTATCAACCTTTATCCTTTCTTTTTTTTCTTGTTCTTGTTTGAGAATTTCAATATTGTTTCTTATAGCTAGTTGAAATTAATTCAGAGAAATGTTTCTTAAACCTAATCTGATGAAAATGTTGAGATTTTGGTCATTATCTATACATTAGTTTCTCATGTTGTTTTTACATAAGAATACATTTTTCATAACAAAATATAAATATTAATAACATTGTTTTTGTTTTTATTCATTAGTTCTTTACTATAGTACTTTGTTATTTAGAACTAAGTACTAATATATGCTTGTCAATGAAAATTGATTGGAATGAAATTGTGTTGCATACATTTGTTTGTCTAGAGTAGTCCTTGATGAAATACAAATTCAATGAGATACATAATCAATTACTTAAGCAGAACACGTATGTGAAAAATGCTTAGAAATTCAAAAATGGAACTAAACAAAGCTTTAGACAAATTTCACTAACTTTATATTTGTTCTTGATAAATACATTTAATATCAATTGAATATTTGTCAAAGATCTTCTCTAATAGAAGCAGAAAAGCAAATAATTTATACAAATAAATGATTCATTGGTGGAAAGAAACGTAGAAAAAAACAAATCATTTTTATACGATACAAGATTAATTCATTGATTTTCTGTTAAATGGTAACGATATGAAAGTTCTACATGCGATGATTAGTATATCAAACAAGTATTATTATCTTTTCATAGACAAAAAACCAAATTTTTTAGTCGAAATCACTTAATGATCTAATGCACGAACACATGATTAGCAATTCAATTTTGATTATTGCATTGATAATAAGATGAGTAACAATGGCATTAGCCCATACCAATTACTTTCTCAATGAATAGTAGTCTACAGAACAGTACTAAGATATAAAATACTTTAAACAAAACTTATGATTTTCCAATAATACTCATTTTAAAGACATAGAGATTTTTTATCAAATGTCTTTTAAATAATAATTTTCTTCAAGAATTTGATTTATTTTTCTATTAAAAAAAAAAATATACTAATTATTTATATGAAAAAATAAATGATCTGTTGATTTAATATGTCCGTATGTTAATAAGTGCACCACTGAGAGAATATTTTGACTCTATGAAGATAAATTACATTATTGAATGAATGTTAATTAGGCATCATATATCTTAATCAATGATAAATTGAAAATGAACGACTCAATTCATGTATATTCTATTTATTATTTTAAAGATTTTGTTTATTTAACAAACAACAAAAAATATTAAATATATGATTATCTTCTTAAAAGAATTAGAATTAAATATTGACAAATAAGATGACATTGATAATTTCATTTAAATAATACCAGCAAAAACAAATTAACATTTTCTGACAAAGATATCATTGATAACATAGTTTTTACTATTGTTATTGATTTTTAAATAAATTCTTTATCTATTTTATTACTATATAAATGTATTACTAGGAATGTGCAGTTTCAGTTTATTGACCATTGACTCGTTGTGGTTAATGTTGTACGCTGATACTCTAACATCAATACTCAGTGAAGCATTACAATAAACCTCTACAAAAAGGACATAGTTTGATAGAGTTGATCTCTTAACGTTGCAGCAAACGCGAATATCAGTACTTCACTGAGCATTGATATAAGTGCAATCAGTATTCCAGTGAACCCTGTATCGGTGATTCACTGTTCAGTATTTACACATCCCTATGCTTCACCTTTGTATAGGATATCCTTAAATTTCAATAATTTTATATGTCTGCAATAATATTAGCTCTTCAATTGATTATACTAACAGTTAATTATAATACAAACTGAATATCCGTCATAAATATATTGACAAGGCAATCTTATACTGCCTTGCTTTTTTTTTATACCAGAAATAACACATGTTTGTTGATATTGTATGATAATATGAATGAATAATTATACTTTTGATAAGAAGGTATAGTGTCTCACTAGGTATCTCAATTGTCTGTCACCTTCGTTTTTTTACTGAAGCAAATATTTACTCTCTGTTTGATCTTTTAATTCAGATATTATCTCGTGTAATTATATTTATGTCAGTATTTTCTTTAAATTATTGTCACCTTCTTTTCTTAATTGTATTGATAACCTTGATATTCTCCTGTCATATAAATAGAACCATGTCAAGATTATCGACATCTAAATTATTGATCGATGTATGAAAAAAAAAAAGAAATGATCCTAGAGTTGAATATCACAGACTAGGAGGTGTTGAAAGTATGAAGGTTAAATATTTAATCAATATTATGTAAAAGAAATATACAAAAAAAAAACCGCACACATAAGAGTTTGATCAATCATGAGTAAGTATGTCTAGAAAAAAATATAACATTCATTAATTAAGTTCTTATTCTTTTTTTATCGTTTCATAGACGAAAAAAAAAAGAGATTTAGGCACTTATTTATTATTCAGGTTAGTATGACAGCAGCATTCTTATTAAGATTCTTGATATAGTTGAGATTTTTTTGCTCGAAGATTTAGACCATATTTCATTGATAGACAGAACACATCTGATCTTTATTTATACTATATTATGTGTCAGAATAATCTAACGACATTTTAGATATTATTTACTTTTATTTTTTCGACATCAGTCCAAAAATTAGTTATTCTTATGTATGATACTATATGAAGAAAAAGAATATTTTTCTGCTAAAAACAAACTATGGATGATACGTAAGTATACAGTAATTATTCCTATCAATCTAACAAACTATTCTATTCACCTAACTAAAATGACAAACCTATCAATTAAAATCTAAGCAATGTGACATTTGTCATATATGACAAACTTGGCCTTGTCGTTTTTTTGACTGGTGATGGTATGCCAGCAGGCGTTTACATATCATGTCAACTAAACTGAAGAATATAGAAAATCTATTATATGATACTTATCTTGTTGTTAAGCTCATATTTCAAGAAAGGGATAAAAATCATCAGCACATTCATCCTTGTCAGTTGACTTAAACTAAATATGAAAGAAATGAGCCAGATTAATGTTATTTTGTTATCTTTTGGGTGCAAACATTTTTGATAAATATAACGAAATACTCAATTTTTGTTGATTATTATATACTAATCTATCTCTTTTATCTATTATCACTACTATAATCATAATAAAAACTAACAACATCAACTAGGAACAAGTATTCTTAAGTTAAATATTATCTTGATTGTATACGCATGACATATGAATATTAACTAAAAATAAATTATGTATATGATTTCAATATTCTTTTTTTTTTCTTTATGTATATTTAGTAATAAATTCATATAAGTTTTCAATTCTTTCCTTCTTTCTTTTTTTTTTTATATCCTATTTCATTCAAAAAGAAAAAC